AAAAAAAGATGAAAAATATAACTAGTTAGTATTAAAAATTCATATTTTATTTAATTAAATCAATATCATCATCATCTAATGAAATAAAATCATCTGAATTTAATTCTTTCTCCGTTTCATCTTTAAATGTGAATAATTTAGAAAATGTTTTATTCTCAAATGATTTCTTGAAATGTTCATAATCATTAGCATGTTTAACTAAAAACACTAATGATATTGATGGATCCATCTTAGAATAAAGCATACTTTTATTATCTTTACAAAAGTAGCTTTGATATGACCAATCTCCTTTCATGTCAATTGCATTTTGTGTTGTGTGAGGATCAAGAAAATATAAATTAATTCCATCAAATGTGTGGAAGTAATGAGCATATCCTGGTTTTCCACCAATCATTCCCATACATTGTGGAATATCAAAAATTGTTTTTAACAATGGTCTAAATTCATTTTCAGGTGATTCTGGACCAAGTCGTAATGGAACAAAGATTATACATGGATTAAATCCCCCACCATCTTTAATCAACTCTTCAATCTTCGATCCAATAATACTTCCTAATTTAGCAACATACCCACGTGTTCTAAAGACTCTCATTTCATTAATATGTTCTGCAGCTATATCAGAAGCAAATGATGGTCCCCACCATTGTCCTTCAGTAACTCCTCTTGTAGATGCTCTTGCAACTAATCTGTGAATAGAAAATAAACTTCCAGTTGAATCTCCAAACAGATTAATAATTGATTTTATATGAAAAATGTTCCTTTCTGTATTTATACAATTATCTTCATATTTCCAGTTATTTCCAAGAACAATTGAAAGAAATGTTTGTGCAAGTGCCATTTGTAATGACCTAATCATACATCCCCATCCTGAGTCTGTAGTTTTTTCTTTAATTAAAGGCATATTTTTTCTGTATGTAATCCAAATAGTATGTCTTGCAAAATCATCAATATCTTTTTTATTTTCTCGTTTTTTAGGTACTTCAGTTTCATTTTCTCCCAAGGCAATAGCTTCAATCACATTTAAAGAGCCAACTTCCATGAAAGATGATTAAATCACAAAATACAAGTTTTTAATCTTATTTTTCTTTTTCATCTTCAAAAAAAATCTAAAAACAAAAAATTCTAAAAGGAATGAAAAGACCAGAAGTAGATATTGTGATTGAGAAAACCTCGTTTTTGATGGAGAAAATGGAATATACTGAACAATATGGTACAATCTACTTTGATCGATTGAAGAGACTAAGACCATTATTAGAAATTTCAGTAAAAAAAGTAGATAGTAATATTTGTATTGTTGAGAAATTATCACATATTCCACAAGGAAGAGTAGCTCTTATTGGTACTTTATTTAAAAAATCAAAAAAGATTCCTACATTGTTAAATCAATACAAAAGTATTAAAAGTGTTGATTCAATTAATTTTGATGAAGATTCATATGTTGATGACTCAGATACTTGTTATTTAGAAGATATAACAAGTCATGTAAATTTAATTATTGATAAAGATCAATTAGCTCATATAGTCAGTGGAACAGCATTGGCTGTAATTGGAGAATTAAGTAATGATTCATCTTTTGAAATAAAATCAATTTTATATCCTTATGATAAACCAAAACCAACTAAATTAATTGAAGATGAGACTCGTTGTTATATTGCTCTTGTAAATGATATCCAATATTCAAGTGAAAAAAAAGATCTTATTCTTCATAACATCTTATCAAATGAATTACCTTTCCCATTAATCGCTCATGCTATTCTAATTGGAAAACATGTCTCTGATCCTTCTTTTATTCCTCAATATGATTGGTTTTTAAGCTCTGTTTGTAATAATCTCAATATTGTTACTATTCCTTCTCGTGATGATCCAACAAATGCTGTCTATCCTTACCAACCAATTCATCCATCAATATTTGCACATGCATCTTCAAAATCAACATACCATTCAACAACAAATCCATCAATTATATCATTTAATGGTGTAAGAACATTAATATTATCAGGAGATGTTATTCAACATTATATGAAATTGACTACATTCAAAACAGTTAATGAGGTAATTCTACAATTGTTTCAGTGTGGACATTTATGTCCTTGTGCACCATCTACATTCCCATGTTTTCCTGCATCTAGTGATCCTTTTATACTTGAAGAACCATTCCCTGATGTAATAGTAATTGGAGGATTTCCCGAACAATGTGATAGTTTTGATTTCATGGGAAAGACTATTACTATTGTTACTGTACCCTCATTTGCAAAGCAAAAGACTATTATATTATTTGATTTTGAAAACAAATTAATCAAACCAATCAAAATTGATTGAAAATAAATTCAATTGACTGAAATGAGTAGAGCAATGTACTTTTCATCTAATTTTTATTTCAAAGCAACGAACTATTGCAATAACAAATGAATCAAAAAATGAAAGACCTTCAACTGACTTTATTAAATAATGGTCTTTCTGTTTTGATAATTCATATTTCACAACTGCCTCTATTGTCTTGATAAGTTTTGTTTTTTTTT